GGCACGAGGCTGCGGCACTCACCGAGGTCCACAGCACCAGCATGGGGAAGCCACACCGCTCCCCCAGCATGTCCGCAGGGCCAAACCTCTGCGCTGGGAGCGAGCCCGGGTGTTCCCCTAACACATGCTGTTAGCCGAGGAGCTGCAGTTGGGTTTGGGAAAGGCCCAGCTGGCAGCAATACCCAACTCACCCCCTGCAGCACCAAAAATAAACCCAGAGGTGAGATTTCTATCTTTGCCAGAGCATATTCTGGCGTGTAAGAGAGTCTGTTGGCCCAAGACTTAAGGAGCCTCCCTCCCCATGCCAGGGAGTGCCAGGGACCCCATGGCTCATGCTGGGCAGGGGATGGGTGTCAGGGTCTGTCCCCTCAAGCGGTGTCAGCTGGCGGAGGGTCCAGCAGGATTTCACCGAGGGGGATGCTCCCAGGAGGAGTTTTGCATGGCCACGTCGCCCCGGCCACAGGCTGGTGTGCCGGAACTGCACACTGCCGGGGTGCGAGGGCAAACGCCCCAGGAAGTTTTGTTGCAGGACTTGGTGGCCCTGGGCACAGCAGGTGACTCCTTTGCACAAGGAGCGGGTCCCAGGAAGGGATACGGCTGGTCCTGGCTGCCAGGCAATCCCCCCCGCCCCCGGCCGTGCAGGCAGCCCCACAACCCCATCAGAACAGCACCCCGAGTGCCACAGTTCGGGAACATGCCACCCCTGCGTTCCCAAGAGCACCTGAGAGCTTGCCTTACCTGGGAGGAGCAGAGCTGGGAAACGCCGGTTGCCGATTCCTCCTCAAGGCAGCTGCGAAATGCTGGAAAAGCCGCTTGCAGGTGAGCTCGGTGGCACGTGGATGGATGTGGCATCACCCCCCCCCCCCGTGTCGGGCACCACGCCCCGGTGACATGGCTGTGTGCTAGGTTGGGGCTGACGGTCCCGGGCAAGCCCCGACGGGGCTCAGCAGCAGGAAACGGCCCCGTTCCTCCGCAAAGCGTTGCAGCGAGGCTGAAGGATGTGTTCATTTGTTTGACCTTTTTTTTTTTCTTTTGGTTTGCCCCTTCTTTGGTTTAATTAGCCAGGTGGCTGGGGAGCTGCGGTAGAGTCCAAAGGCACCGATGAGTCCCCAGGGCAACTCAGTGAGTGTGTCCCCTCCTGACTCAGAGGCTTTGCTGCTCTTCCTGCTCCTCTCCGCCTTCACCGACCGCGTCCCCCACCCTCTGCAGCTCCGGTTCCTCATGCCAGTCAGCAGACACTGGCTGTTCTCCCACACTGCCCCAGCCTTGCTCCCCTGCTCTCACCCCCGTTGCCCCTTACCCCAGCCCTCACCCTCCCCGGACCCGCACCAGTGACTCTGTGGCGGCTGGTGACTCCGTATCTGTGGGCTGCAGGCGGTGCAACATCTGTGGCCTGTGCACTCGGAGCGACCGGGCGCGTTGTGGGCAGAACCGCAGCACGGGGACACCGGGAGTGGGGATGAACTCACCAGTGTGAGGCCACTGGTGAGGATGAACTCACACTGGTGAGTTCATCCAGGACCAGGAGCAGCCGACTGCCTTCCTCCCAGACGACGTGTCCTTGGTTTGCCATAGCTTGGCCCGCGTGAGCAAACAGCTGGCTCCAAGCAGACGGAGCAGAGGAGCATCTGGGGACATTACGGCTGCCCCTTGGTGACACCGAGCCCTGGCAAACCACATCACAAGGTGAAGCAGGAGCAGAGGAGCTCCTGTAAGGCAGGTCCCAGTGCTCGGGGCCCAGCGCCACTTAAGGGTGTGCAAGGACCGAGCAAAATGGGTGCTCCCATCCTGTACTTCTAGAACCGGACCCTGGCGCCAGCCCAGGACGGGCCATCTGGAGTCACTGGGGGCATCGAGCCAGGGCTGGAGCCAGGTGCCACCTGAACAGAGGCTGGTAGGGAGCAGGTCGCACCGCGCATCAGGGGCTAAGCCCCAGTATGGGCTAAATCTGTGTCAGCTTATGGATCCTGCCGGTCCAGGCCGCTGGTTCTCCCACCCCCGATCCGTGACAGCCAGGACGAGCTGGCAGCAGCGTGAAGGGACAACCATCGTCACCTACAGGAAACTTCCTCGCAGTTCCCACCCGCTTTCTAAAGAGAAAAGGGACAGCCGCTTGTTTCATTGCCATCAGAGCATCTCACAGGGGAGATCAGACCCACGAACACGTTCCTGGTGCTCCTCAGGCCTCTGCTAAGCGACTCTGAACTGGAGAGCCAGTTGTACAGCAGTTCTCCGTCTCAAGATCCTACCTGCATGAAACAGATCCTGAGAGCAGCAGAGGAGAGAGGGCGGTACCAGGAGGAGCTGGGTAGATGGGGCCAGGGATGGGGCCAGGACAGGGACGGGCCAGGGAGCAGCTGAGGTTGGAGGGGACGCCCCAGCCACCAGGATATGTTTTGTCAGAGTCAACATCACCAATAGAGTACAAAGGTCTGTAAAACTCGTCCTCAGGAGACCAGTCCTCCGGGCCTGGGCTCCAAAGCAACACTCGACGTGCAGAGGAGAGGGGCAGATCCACCGTTCGCAGCACCCTCGTGGTGGGAGCCAAACACAAGTGACGCTGAGGTGTCTTTGGCGCTGGGAGTTCCCCGCGACGTTGGCATTTAACACGCTGATCCGCACGTCCCCAAGGAGTACTGAACTACTCACGCTTTCTGGGGGCCTGAGGACAGTGTTTCACACCAAAGCTGGGGCTCAGTGAGTCGTCCCCCCCCCGCTTCACAACCAGCATCACCCGTGCGTACTCCCGTCCCTGTGCCTCGCCCTCCCAACACCCCTATCTCGGTATTTAGGGAATGGATATGAAATACAAAGAAAGAAAAACATGTTCCTGTTAAAAAATACACACAGCAGTTCTCTCTGGCTTAGAACACGGCCCCATAAAACCCTGCCAGCGCACTGAAGGCACGAAGTGCTCAGGGAAGCGAGAGGACAGGTGGAAATAAATTAGCTTTGCTGCTGAAGCCAGCGCACCGTTACAAGCGTGGCCTCAGACAGGGCAGGGCAGGCGAGGCAGCAGCTGCGGCGCTTCCAGCTGGCAGCG